TACGCATAGCAAATTAATCACTATATAGTTATATATAGCTAAATAGTTAGGAATGGGGGTCGTGCTCGACACTTTGGTGAAAAGTCATTGTCCCTGTGGCCCAGGAAACGAAAATAGATCGTAGCGATAGATCTTCGCAGAAAAGAACGACATCACATCGTAAAACCTCTGGCGTTTAGTTGGTTTGATGTTAGCGAGGTGATTAAAAAACCGTATATATATTTGGCGCTGTCGAAGTATATTGGTTTTCAACACATAATTATATCCACTGGCGTATATTCAAAAAGAATAGGGCCCAAGGTTCTGCGTATTTTGAAACTACAAAGCCAACGAATCTTCTAAGATATTCTTAGCGACGTAGAAAGGTATATAATGTGTGGCAGAGATTGGACCGTCTGCAAATGCCGGGTTTCGCTATCCAGCTGACAGCACAATTCTATGACACGTAGCGTCATCCGTTTCAACCCATGAGAGATATTCGTGCATTATTAATATGACTATATACGTTAGTAATATTTTGCATAATCCGTACAACGTAAACCTATTGGGGACGATGAAACTAGATGTTCCAGCAGCTGGGAATTAAGAAAGATGTCTTCAATGCACACTTTTATCGGTGGGGGAAACCAAAGCATACCCCTTAACCAGAGTGCTGTGAAATATGCCACCCAACTCATACTGAACTAGCGTGTAGCTCGTTCCTCTCAACTGGTATTTCTACAACATGTTCCGTTCTTGTTCCCCAATAAATATATTTATCCATAGACTAAAGTCTTAGCGTATGGGTCATGAACAATGCGATACAAGCAGGTAAAGTAAAATCGCTCCTTTGCAATCACAGTCCTGATCAAATCAGAAACGTCCCAATTCGCCTAAAGAGAATAGAGATTAAAAGCAAAACTCAGATCTGAATATTTAAATGAACAGTTAGTAGGAAATGTTATGTTATACTCGCGCTATTTTTGCTTCATCGACATTGCATTTTAATGCGCAAAAGGAGACGCGTTCAACGTTAGGCTGGAGAGGCTACGTTTTCACGTTTCCAGGTCGTCCCGTTGCGGAACTTTCAACCAGAAAATACGTAAAATTCAGAATGAACCTACCGTTTTTCTAATACTTTCCCACATAGCTGTTGATTTTTCTGAACACTGACACTGGTAGCGCAAGTCTACAGATTACATTTTTCACGCACGCTACTGCGTATACGATCTCACAAAATTTCTATTACAGATTGGGGCTTATCTTAGAGTTCCTTAGAAACAATTCTTAAGAGAAACTTACTATTGACTAAAACAAGCTTCACTAAGCCGACTACAACAGGCAAAATCTACCTGGCAGAATTAACACTTAGGAGAGCGAAGAAAAACCATTAATGGTTCACTGCTAGGGATAATGTCTGTCCTCTTCTTTTAATTAAGGTACACGGACATGCATTTTAACATATTCACATGGCGGAACGTTTAGATTAGAGAACAGCGAAGCTCGTCGAAAGGGCGCCTTTTACTGGATTGGAACGAAACAACGATGCACCGCAAACGGCGATGACAGCGCACGACAAAGGGGCCAAAAAGCTTCACCGAGAAGAAACGACAGAAGCGATTTGGTGCGGTTGAGGCCTTCATACATAGTACTGAATAAAAAAAAACAAAGCTCAGACAGTTTGTTATTGGAAAAGCCAATTTGTATACGATAAGCTTTTTTCTACCCAACAAAGGATTATGCATCCGCATTTATCATCGTATATTGTCTCGATCTCAGATCCAAGTAATCCAATAGCCCGGTTTCTAGCGAAACATGTTAAATTCGATTGAAATACCATCACTCGTATACAAATTACTGCTTTCATAACCTACGTCATAACCGACGTCTACGACTTGAACAGATAATTGAATAGTGTCCTACACGATAATGATCTGAAGCTAACTTGTATTTGTATCCACGAGATAACTGACATTGGCTAACTACGTCTGGAGAGTACAATAGAACGCACGACTCTGCAGGTACCTTCGGCTTAAACCCTAATTTAGGAACACAGGTTTGGCCGTCGAAAATGTCGTCCTATGGAAAGCAATGAGTAAAAATTACTTCAGACGTTGTTTAGATTGGTAAAAACGATTACCTTACTCTAGAAAGCCGTCTTGGCCCCGTGCTAAGAGCAGAGAGGCAGACAGATGGATAGACAGACAGACAGATAGACACAGCAGCAAATGTATTTTATTGACTGGCCTCAGATTATTCGATGCTAACAAACGGTATGAAATCTAAATTGGAACCTTTTCTTATGTCTCATTTCTAAGACTATACATAAATGGAAGTAGATATTTCAACAAGATTTTGTGTTATTTCAGTGGATATATTTCTTCAATATGACCACCATTCACCATGATGATAGCTTCAATTCGAAGACCTAAACCATTATGTAGTCATCTTTGAAAAATATATTATTGAATGCACAAATAGCCCCTTAACAGTAACTGTCCGCCAAGCGATATAAGTAAGTGTGAACTTAATAAGGTGCCGCTCAGATACACTGTATACCAAAAATCCCAGCGAAATTTTGACTAAAACTCTCTAAAATGCAAGACCTTTAAACGTATAAAAAGTTCAAAAATGCCAAGGGCACAGAAAGTCGCAAAAAGACTAACTTTTTTTAGCTTATCTGAATGACCCAAACGGTAACTAATACTCAACTTTTCCAAAACGGCTGTTAGTTTCTGAATAAAAAAAAAAAGTATCCAGCCGTATCGGAGATGGCTTTTTAAACTCATTTTGATGAATTTTAAGCTCTAGCTCTGAAATTTGTTGAAGACTTTTTGGTTTGCATCGAGATATATGCCTCGTGTCTTCTGAGCCGCAGAAGCTTCATGAAAACTGGCGATATACGGCGAGAGCCGGTTTGGCACAAAAAAGTTGTTGGTCTCGTTGACGCTTCAATCAGCACGAACAGACCGGACAATAGCCAATGTCTGCATAAAGATGCCCCTCAAAGGCCAACTAGTAGTGTTCTATTGGATTGTTCACGCTATTGTAGAACGCGGCGAGTGAGCAACGGTTACTCGTATTTCACAGGCAAATGATGGGGCGGTTTGAACTTAGAACCTTAATAACTTTCATTTGTAATGAGTTGGCTCTTTTTGTGGCAAAATACATTAGACCGTGACAAAAAAAAAATCTGTTGGTTGAGCTTGCACACAGTCTAGGTTATAGGTCCGTTGAAGAAACCCTAGAGGAGTCCAGCAAGACCCAGCCACTTAAGTCAGTCTCTCAGCGGTGACAAATCCTCCATGTTATATCTAGAAGGAAAGAGATTCCGAGGGCCTGTTCACATGAAAAAAATAACTAAAAGTGCAAACGACACCGTCTACGGGACGACTGGGTTATTCTATCTGGCGAAGTTGATTTAACAATCCTAGTTTTAAGGCCTTTTATATACATGAAATATGTAAGTTAGATAACGTTTGGCGCGTCTTACCTACTTCATTAATTTTAACTGACGTAAACCAGATTTTTGTCAGCTAAATTATAAGGTTCGACTATTAAAGCACGAAAGCTATCTTGGATATAATACGATTCTCAGTAGTTCCAATTTTGAACGCCCGCCCCATATTGAAAAGCCAAAACCGAAAACCCTCCCGAAAAAAAAAAGACGAAGACTAAGTAGAAAATAAGGAGTTAAAAAACGTGCTTTTCGTCTTTACACGTACGTCCGTAAAGCAATCAGGGATAGAATCAGAGCTGACCCATGTTCCCATTAATTTGCGCGGGTTTTTCAAATCCTTGAGTCAGTCTTGGCTTTCGATCTTTCGTACGTATTGCTGTCTGATCACTCTCCACGACTGAGTCATTACACTTCGTTAAGAGGCAGACCTTAGTTATTGGACGCGATGCCGTAAACATGGCGACAAGAGCACCTCAACAAGCTTCCTTGGTTAGCGGAATCCTCGGCTTCATATGTTTATCTAAATAAGCATGTGTTAGGCTGTTAGGCATATTTCGAGCGTCGTGGGTTTTGCACGCAACAACTGAGCCTGTTTAAAAATTTTATGACGTTAATTCCTTGAAATCACCTGGAAGGAGTGGATAATTTCCACTATTCAATGATGTACACAGATTGGGATTAGCTCGCCGGTATGCCTGATAGTGTTGAAGACTTGTAAGCCCATGTTCTCGCCAGAAGTTTTTCAACACTTTAACAAAAAGCTTCTCGCCCCTGCACCACACGACTACCTCTAATATAGAAAAATCTGGCAAACTACCCTTAACGTCGAGTTTGTGAAACACTCGCGTGCAATTGAACGTACACTAAAATAAACAGCGCTACGTTCCAACTTCAGTTTTCTACTATGAGACAAAAGTGCATGCGTTAATTCAACCTGAACTATGCAGGATCTGATTGAGGTCATTTCCCATTCTTTTCTGGATGGCCAACTACACTTGGCCTCAGCAGACGATTCTACCAGTCAGTTGCATCAAAGCAAACCATTCCGGTTGACTTTTAGATACAGCGCGTCATATCCAAAGAAACCCAAACGAAATTTATAGAACAGTCGAATCTATCGATACTAGCGTGTGAACAATCGATTACGGTGTGATACGCAAGGGGATTTGTCACTGCTTTCCGACAACAAAAGCATTATACAAACCTGTAATCCCTCTTCAAAAACTGTCGACGGAACCTTATATCGCTTCCAATGGACCCATAGTGGATAAGTATTGTATGCATAAGACGTACGATTAGGCAAAGCGTAAAGCTAGTTGCTCATGAATCTGCTCATTACAGCTGACTTTTTTCCACTCTGTACGTGTAGTCTTTATTTCACACCGATTATCACTTTTAACGATGATAATATTATCGTTTTACGCAACGATATCATAATAAAATCCATATGGTTATTATTATTTAATACTAGAAATTCGACATTTTTCCATTATTCAAACGAAGCTGAAGAAAAGTCGAGAAGAAATTTTATCAACAAGTTCTTCTTAGGTTTCGACTCACATCCGCGTTTACCGTTGATTTTATTCGAAGATAAGCTGCGTCCGGGCAGCGAACCCCAAATTCTATCAAATAACAACAAGTGTTTGAATCCAAATGGGCATTTTCATTTATATTTTTATGAATTCGTTGTCGCCAGTGTCATCATCGTGACTAGTATTCTTCAAAGGCGTTTGTCATTCCTTCGATCATCCGTGATCGTCACTGCAATAACGCTTAATCCGAGTTACGAAGCTCACCTACTGCTCAGCTATTCCACCTCGTATGTCGCAGTCTGTCTCTTATTAGCATAATTGGCAAAAAAAAACTTCATTCGGTTTTAATTACGGCTTATTTAGTTGCTGTCCAGGCCGTCATTCACGTACTTCATATCTTCAGTCGTTATTAAGCTCATTACCCTCTTGGCGTTCTTTATATTAGACGCTTTTAACTCATAACATGTGTCTACGCCATTTCAAGCCTGTGGCTCTTCGGACTTCGTGCATTATGCATATAAATAAAATATAAAATTCTTTATGTATGTATGTATGTATATATATCACGCATCATTATGTAAAGCCTGATTTTCTACGTCGAAGTCTACGGGAAAAAAATCTGTTTTGAGGTGTTTCTTATATCGTTATATATCATCATAAAAGATAACAAGGACTGGTATGTATAACTAGTTAGTCTGAATCGAAAACATAAATAGATTGATAGATATATGCACCGTGTGGATTTCGTCAAATCGTGTCCACATTTGCTATTTCTTTCCTACTGCTTCTCTTTACGTCTCGTTCTAGCGATACTGGAGCACTAGCCGCCTTCTTATAGCGTAGTATTTTTCTATCATTCAAGATAATTAATTCATCAAGATAATACGACTTTCGAAGATTCACATATGAAAAGACTACCCGGTGTAGAAATTAGCGTAGCGTCTGTTGATTCAACGAAAATATCTAGAATATGCTGAAAATACTGGCGATTGGCATTTTCCAAACGCAGTAATGGAAAGGCGAACACATCAGAGACATAGATATCAATTAAATAAGAAGAATGAAATCAGCTCCGAGATAAGCGAAGACGTCGATCAGGAAGAACTCCTTACGACGGCAAGATAGACACGAAGAGACTTTTCTTCCACAGAGACACAAATTAGCTTCAATTGGGCGAAACTGAGACCACCAAGAATGGGCTAGCTTATGGATACACTTTCTGTGGCACACGGTGGCTAACACGTTTGCCTATGAAACTTAATGACACGTCATGATGAATCCGGGCGTAGGAACACTTTGTCGTTTGAGATAATAACCAAGAGCTTTAAATACATTAAAGAGGTGGTCCATTTAAAAATGGCAGCAAAGGACATCCCATAATATTGATAGAGTTCGTTAAAAATAGTAACTAATATAAAGGTTGTTAGCTCATACAAAATTATACACATGGTGCAGATTCGACGGAATTAAAAACTGGAGTCAAATCTTCATTCTTCAATAGAATGCCTTTTCAGTCCAAATAGAATAAGCACTTATTTACAAAGCTTTGTTTGGGGGGGGCGAGTTTTTAGAGGTGTGAGTCTGTACTGTACTCCCACAATCATGGGAATCGACAAAACCAATTCCCCAGTGACAAAAAGAGAATATAAAAATTATATGGAATCTCAGAAAATTCAAAAGTACAATTCATACTTGATAGAATTAAAACGTTGGAATTTCGAACGCTAATCAAGATCATCACTCATAGAAATGCTGTCCGAACGAGGGCATTCGATCGGATGGCGCATCTTTCTTCCATAATGCTAAGTTTCTGTCGTAAACGACCAGGTCTCATAGGTGTTCTGCTTCTTAATACTTTTTTTTTTTTTTTTTTTTTTTTCGAAATCCGTCTGTTTCGAGTTCGAATTCATTAGTAGTCCAATTTTTCCTGCATGTAGCATAAGTAATCCTGTAGCAGACGACAGCCCGTTCGAGAAAACTGGCAAAGTACATTAATCTTATAGAAAAATAAAGCTTTACAGAATAGCTAATGTGCTATATAGGAAACGAAAAACTGCACGAAATGCTAAAGACAACCGGTTAGTGCCAGTGTGACAAGCGGGTATTTCCCGAACACTGACTGTTGAACATATTTAGTAACGCACGGTGGACAAGTCCTTTAGAGATTGGCAATAAATAGTTTATCTATAGATCTGCATGTATGTTCAGACAATTTGAGTTAAAATCTATTTAATAGAGTTAGTTAATATCCGAAATTGTTCACATTGTACCAAAGGGTAGTAAATGTTAAGCCGATAATAACAAATTGTTGTCTTCTACTGTCGGTTCGTGGCGCGAAATATGACTTCGGGAAACATACTATAGGGAGAGATAGAGATCTCTCCTCAGAGATCGTTCACGGACGCAGTGAACTACAGCGAATGAAATACGGCCTAAAACCAGCATCTGCCTATCAACTAGCAAATAGAGCACTAGGAAACAAGGGCACCATCCCTAGTGCTATAGTTTACTGCTCCGGGAACCGCTTCCCCTGGAAAGGAAACAAACGCTCAACGGCAACTAGAATCAAAACAATATCCGACTTCAATTTTCCGACAGCTGATGAAGCAACTTTCTGGGGTACCGCTCGAAAATTCAAAGGCTACCTGTTCCGATTCACACTACCTAGTTTTTCGTTGTCTTAGTTCGCGTTGCCCCTGTAATTGAGGACATGGCCGTTGCATACTCGAGACGAGCGGCGACGGGACTCAAAAGCGCTGGCTTTCCGGAGCCTGGGCTTTTTGTGGCAAGCAGAGTATCGAGATGAATGCCTGAGACAATTAAAGCTGCAAGACGTACTATGTCTAATGCCATTTGGTGTGTCAGCTTGACATAACTAATCGAATGAATTCTGTGGTTGAAATTGGGTTTACTCGATGCTTTTGATCGTTCCTTGCTTGGACTTTTAGCGTACCTGCTACACGGGTAAAATTGAGAGAATTTTACTATATCGTTTCAGCCGGCTGGCCTTCACTGCGAACCAAACGTAAACTTTTAAATCATACCAATCCCAAGTGGAAGAGTGGCTTTGATATAGGCTACGCATTCAGCCCGAAATCTACGGTGTTAAAACGGACCGCGATCCATGGCTCCACGGACTCTATATAGCCAGATGTGACATAGACAGATGTGGCATAGAAAGAACGCTAGACAGCTTCGACACTTTTAGAACAAAAAAGGGGTTGTTAATCCTATCAATGCTTGTCTCCTCGTCATTTCAGACTCGTCTAGTAAAGAGATTTCGTCATTTTATTTAGAAAATAGTAACGAAAAAACAACGGAACGGGAACTGTCTGAACACAGGGTAGAGGGTTCGAGGCGTGAGATACATTTCGTTAGAGATTTAAATTTGGTTGGCAAACGATTAAATCTTAGTTAGACTGATGATAGTTAGCAGAGCCATCGCAGATTGTGGCTTGTAATTCTGTTCTCAAAGTCCTAGAAACGGTAGCAGAAAGGGCAATGCCATTGACGGCAACGCAATGGGGACCCGGATGTAAGTCTAGCTACGTCGGCTCTCTATTCTTCTCTATTCTATCTAAAATTCTTACGGCAAGACTATTTCATGACAATTAAGAAAAAAATGCCCTTTTCTAAACGTATGCGAGAAAGACCTTACATTTATTAGATACCATGATGTTAAGACTAACCAAAAGGTTAGGCTCACTGATGATTTCCCGTAATTTCATTCCTCTTTTTCAGCAGTCAGAGTATCTTGAAAACAAACATCCAAAAATAAGTTATCGGCCACCATAGATCCATACTGCAAGTTTGCGACGTCCTACTTGGTTGTTGTGCAATGGAATGAACGAGAAACTCTCTTCTGGCCTGGTTACGACACTCAGCAACATATACAGCGAACGAAAAACAGAATTATAAACAGCCGACAATGGGCGTACACATGATAGGGACAGCTCATCACCAAAAAATTGGCGCAAACTGAGAATCTAATTGAGAAAAGTTGAAGCTGCTGCAGTACTGTTACCTTTACTGCGTGCGCCACGGCCTCAGCTCTCAACGTAATTCAGAGCGCCTAACGAGGGCTCCAGCAAATAGCTGCCGAGAGAAGAACGATTGTGATCGACTGCCATCAACGCTACATTGAAACTAGGTTGCTATTTAGAGAAAAGTAAATCTGGGATAAAAACGAACAGATAGGATAAAAAGCAAAGAGAACGTGGCACGGCCTGAGAGTAGAGCACACGGTCCACGATCAATCAGAACTTGTTTTGAGTATCGCAGAGAACTAAGGCTGCTTAGATTATCTCGCAAATCGTTGGCTGCATTTGTTAGCAACAATTCGGCTATCGACCCCGTGGAAACAGATAGCAAAAACAACGCTACAAGAATCATATAAGAATAACCGAACAAAATAAGCACTCGATATTGATATAAAGTGTAGGCGGCGGCCGGAGGAATGAGCACACTACTACAATAGGAGACGACAGGCAAAAGCTACTAAGAGGGAAAAATTTTCAACTGAATCCCTGAGACACACCTGGACATTCTCAAATAGATGTTCGTTACTGCCAGCAGCTTAACTTCTGACGATAAAGCTCTTTACCGCCGAAGAGTCGCGAATCTTGTGCGCTCATTAGTGCTTTCTGTGTTTCTAGTTTTACATCTAGTATCACCACTAGGTATTCGGTCAGGCAGTCGGCTGGGCCCCAGTTCGTCCAAGGAAGATTATCGTTCTCGAAAAAAAAAACGCCCGACGCGTTCATCCAAATGTTCAGGCGAGCCTTAGCACGTGGCTAGCTGAATGGTCTCTGTATTTCGTGCCACTGTCTAGATCTATGATTTAAATAGCAAAGAAGTAGCTGAATAAAGTGAGGGGACGAAATATAGGGGACACAAGGGAAAAGAAGGCGAAGGGAATTCTGAAAGTGATTGGTTCAGCGCCTTGCGTTGAAACGCAGTAAAACATAAGGGGAAAGGGAAATCGACCTTTGAAGAAAGGGGTAATGCGGAAAGGACGAGAAACAGGAAAGCACCAAGCTAGGAGAACAATCCAGCTCGGCATGGAATCACATCAGCGATGTCACATGACACGCAATGACGGAATAAATGAGAAAGCAGCAGAAATTAAAGAGAAGTTTAATTCGGGATTTTATGGGGAGTTATCTCCATGCAGTCACGCTTCTTGTTGACGTCGTCCTGACTTCTGCTCCCATCCTTGGTTGTCTCTGTTCGAACTCGCGACACGATACCTCCTTTATGGAAAACAACTTTTGCGAGTTGGGACAGAAGCCGTCTCCTAATTTCATGATCCTGTTTTTACCAGTCTGCAAAAAACTTGAAGAACTGAGTCACCTAGAAGAACTAGTCATTACCTTACTGTTCCCGTGGTCAGCCGTCTCTGGAGTCCTATGTTGGTGATAGACAGAATCGGTAGTTCTCAAGTTAGGGGTTAGATGCATACTCTTCATTCATGTGCGAAGCTGTGCATTTGCTGCTATGTATACAATGAAGCGGATGTAAGCTAAGACAATCGAGGTAGTAGACTGAATGGGTAACAGTATCAGAAGTCGACTTATTATTGACACTACGAGGGAGGCAACTAGTAATTTAGCTAAGGGACAAGACAAGCAGCTTTGAACATAGCTTGAAACTAAAATGAAACAGATCAAGGTCGTATTTATTGTACATAAAGAGAAACAGAGGCAAGCCGGGATTTGTATTTCGTTCATCTGAGAAGCGTCGCCTTACTTCTTCTGCTCTCGTCTTATGCGCCACTTTAAAGTGCAATAGCCAGCACTTACTGAAACGAAGCGCCGGTAGAAGTTACTATTTAGAAACGGATTCCCCCAAATAGACTCTTTTTGATCGTCCTCTTGAGCAGATTCATTTAGAGCGTAACTTGTAAAAATAAAAAAAATCTAAACGTACACATGTCTGTATCCTAATAATAATTATCAGAACATTTTTACACATATATAGCATTGTACGAAAACAGCATTTTTTTTTTGCACCTAGCTATTTCACTGTATCTTTTCGTCTGTTCGTTGTTTTATCGGAGAGAAAAATACATGGTTAACCTATTCGCTTTAGCTAACTGTGTTCTGCTGTTGATGGTACATAAGTCAGCTTGCTACTTTTTATCTTCTGCTTAGATTTCTACCTAATCTTTCATATCACAAAATACGGACCGCTGTGTCAGACCACAACAGGCGCCGACGAGTCGTAAGGGGTGCCTGCAAGCAACAGCCAACCCGTTCGTCCATGTTTGGCCTCAAAACTGCGAACTTTTCTAGGGTCCTTTATACAGTAGTATAAACAGATGTGATCTATAGCGCAACGGAATTGACGCTTCCACAGTTATCCCACGCCGTTATGGAAGCGTCTCAAATCTGGTATTGATCTGTATAGATGGTTGATCCACAACAATATCAATGCGCGGCCGAGATATTAACTCCGTCGCCTAGTTTTGTAAGGTCTTGCTTCTGTTTTTGCTAATGTTTTATGCTATAGAATGCTAAGCGCCATAATTACTATAATAACTGTACATGCGGTAAACCGCATCCAAATTTCCAGGTTATCTATCTCTGTTGTTATTAATAATTTCATTCAGGGTTGCATCTTCCATTTGGCCGACGATATGACTTGGCCAGGACTGATAATTATGCGAAAACTACCTAACAGTCATCTAATCTCCGCCGAAAGTCTAGAAAGACTTTCGGCGGAGATAACAGTTGCAATGTTCGGGCTCATGCGTTAGGATCCTCGACGCGTCCGGAGTTACACAGCGTCCTCTGTTCAAACCGTACTGAATCAGATTAACACCTTTCCTGCTCCTCGAAGTCCGTCATAGTAATAGCAGTAACGAGTAGTACCTCTTGATCTTTCTTTTTCGCTTTTAGAGGCGTTATTCACGGTCGGCAGATCATTGCCATTGATCGGATCAATTTGCTTTGGCCTGCCAAGGGTCAATATTAAATTAGAAAAACAATTTAATAATGATGATGATAATTATCTATAGAAATTTATAGGCCGGCTCCCGGCCGGCTTGTTTCGGTTCGGGCTTCCACGTGTGTGACGTGCACACATCCGAGTCCGCCCACCAGGCATGAATGTCTGGATAGACCTTTCTGGGAACATCGTCGTGCAGCATGGCGCATAGCCTGCAGAAAAAAAACGTATTGATCAATTCGCCGCGCCGTCGACTCTGCAGGTAACTCTCCCATCGTTCTCGATCATGGCTAATTTCGCTAAGATATTCCGCCAGTTCTTTCGGTGAGCTGAAGTCGTCGACGTGGATGAACGAATTCGCCGGCGCGACTCTCGTGTACTCGCTTTTACGGGCGCCCATCACAACCGGCACAATACTATGGTTGAGTCCATTGACGAAGAACTTTTCTGTGATGTAATCTTTGCAGTTGGAATTCTCAAACGCTAGGTAGAATTTGTACGTCGTGTCAAGCATCTTGAAGCAGCTCTTGTTGTATCGAGGACAATTTTTATTGCCGCACGCCCCGAACACATCGACGCCTATGTAGGCGCCGAGTTTGCGGGCGAACTGCAGCCGGCCATTGCGCGCATTGCAGTTGGACACGAACCACGCAACGTCTTTAGTCCGTTTGTCAAAATCGCTGCCCTGGTTATTACCTGCAATATCTTGTGGCGATTCCTCCGTAGAGGGGTCCTCCGTGACGTCCGGGTACGGGACCCATTTCTCGTACGGGGCGACAAGGTCGCTATCGTGTCGGTATGTTGCCGTCCAGTTGAACACCGAACCGAGGTCCCGGAAGCCCGGCGTGTGCATGGGGCACTCCAACAGATAGAGGATATACACCTGATCAGGATGTCGTCTGCCTGGCGGAGGTATATACCTGCAACGACAACAATAACAAGAGAAAAAAAGAACCGTTCGAACACTAAGTCTAAAAATGAAAGGATAAGGAGAGAAACGCTGTTGGAAAAAAGCGTTTCTTTGTGTTTTCTCTGATTATTAGCTGTAATAAGAGCAACTGAATTCGAGTGAGAGACGACGCACAATTGGTGGAATAACAATTTATAGACAAACAGGGCCATGTGAACACCCACACCCTCATATCTGTTTGTAAGCTACGACTGGAGTAAGTTCGCAATATCGTCTGGAGTGGTCAGAGGGAAGATGAAAGAGACACGTATGGTTAGCAATTAAGTTGGCACAAATTATCTAACAGCAGAGAGTAGAGGCCAATACAGCACATTAACTAGCTTTCTCGGTTCTGTGCGAGTTGGCAGTAACACGAAGAAAGCGTTCTGTAGCCGAAATGAATAAACAAACAAATAAGACAACTTAGTACCGCGAGCAACAAACCTGTAAGCAACCGCTTGCGGACAAACCCTATCGTATGAACGAAGCTCGTCTTAAACCCGGTCCTTCACTTACTCTTCTTGAAAGAGTAATAACCACCATCTCTGGCTGAATGGACCTATGAGGCCGTAAGGGTCCGTCCAGGTTATGGTCAAGGGTAGAGTAGAACCACACCTTTTTTAGTTCACTTATTATATGCATATGTTTATATACATTCAAACCTTACTCCATGGATGACGGTAGTGGAAAACAGTGGCTGAGGACGGAGACAACGGCGTCTCGACGATGCGGACAGCGCCTATTAGCCCGTATGGATGGCTAGCGTTTGAAGCATAATAGGTCAGATAAAGCTAGAATGAAAGCTATAAGCTCAAATAAACTAACAATCTACAAACTCATCTTCACGTTGATGTTTTGCGTTGTTAGTAATCGACTATGGTTAATAACGCGTGCCGAAGTAGGGAAGCGGGAAATCCCTCTATTGATCTTTCTGGACGGAATGCACAATACGCTGAATCTAATTTGAACTAGAGAACGCGTTATAATAATATTATTATCTAGCACTGCTACATCTTCACCACCTCTTAATCACCCAAACAATATAGTCAGCCGTTGCAGACTGACGCAAGCTGGCGTTATGTTCATACTTTTACAGAAAAGGACCAGTGTGCATAAATGAATGAAGACCCCGCTTCAAATATCCTTTGCAAACACACGCCCAGCAGGGCAACGCGAAACAGTAAGTATTCATTAACCGAATGGCCGGTTGTCTCCTGCCGTTTGCCTCGTTTAGCCAGCCTTGTTTCTCCGTAAAGCTGGTGGTTGTTCCTTTCGGGTTCGCGTTTCTCTCGCCCCGACCGCAGCCCACGTTGCTCCTGCTCGTGTAAAACCAGCCATTGCTGCGATTCGGCTAAGAAAACGCGATCGCCCAAGTTACTGACGTTAACCTCGCGTTAGTCATCATGACTTTTAATCCAGCAGTCGCTTGTCAATGAAATAGATTTCGCGTTCTACTTCGTCTTAGATAAAACTTAGTGCTATGGTTTGATGCGGACCTTACTTCATTCGGAAGGGGGGGGGGGGTCGTATTCAAGGCGTTTACTCGGTCCGGTTTACCAAATACCGGTACGCAAACCGGCCTAACCTAACGCACTCCTTTAGGAAAGGTCACAGCTACCCATATATTCCTAGCCCTTTGCAGCCTGTACATTACCTGCAGAACCAGCAGCATCTGCAGTATGAGGTAAAGCAATATCAGTGGTAACAGCAGTGGCATTCTCATAACGAACTGAGCAAACCAAACGAACCCTAACCAAGGCCACGGAGGATCCAGTCGCATGCTATGTCCTAATGCATTGATCATCGAAAGCGAAAAGGGAGGGAAGAGGTAAAGTTGGCGTTTGTAGCGGGCCCGCCCAGCTCCAAGCGTCTACCACGAGACCAACGTGAGGTGAATATACGGCAAATTCTTGCAACCTAACCTTGCAGCCATGATAGTCTTGGATTTTCTATGCTAGTTCAGCTATAGAAAACCAGACGTATACACACGGTTTAAATGGGGGGTGCCAGCCGTCTGCTCAACAAAAGTACGTTGTACGTAGAATTCGAAATATTTATAATAATGCTTCTAACAAAGCTCCTGTCGACGCTGACGATTGACTATTTCCGCACTCATTGGGTCTGTACAGCCGACAGAGCGACAACTATTCTCTATAGCCACGGTTATGCTATTATCAACGGGTTGCGGGCGTAGGCTCGCTCGCTGACCTCATCTACGACGCAGGTATCCATAGAAGTAGGGGTTCGCGTTTTCAGCATTATGTCCTTTTTTTAGTACGTTGAAGTATTCAGATTTCGTGCGGCGCGATTAGACCGGGTCTTACAATCTCCGGTACAGAGATTACGTCATTCGCCTATTAACCGAACGAACATAGAAGTGGCCTAGACACAGTTTGTTTCTTGCTGAAAAAAGTCAGTTATCTGAACCGACCCTTAACGGCAGTAAAACCGGGCGTCAAAGTAACGAATAAATAACGGAACAGGTACTTATAGATCAGGTCTGATAGATTAACACGTCGAAAGGCCTTGCAGCGACTGTCATATAAAAGATATATAGCAACGTCGGTACCTTTCGCGCTCATACCTGAAATGGGTTGTAAATTAATTTTTGTCGACCGAAAAAAATTTCGTCGGCCACTACAAACTTGGTTACCTCTTACGAGCGACTTTACCTCTTACGAGCGACTGTGTGAGTATTAACGGCGATGCTAGGCGGTTGGGCGGATGATCAAAAAGTGCTCATTCCGCCATTGTCAAACGAAAAGTTCAGACACATTAATTATATTGCTATGTCGTGCACGTAGACAGCTTAGCATACACAAGTACACGTTTTCTATAGGGAAATGTAAAACACGAAAATTATAAATAATCGGTGATATGATTACTGCTTTACGATAAGCGCATTAAGACCCCACCTCGCAAAAACCATAGCGGTTGTAAGCGACGCTTTGAACAACCTATTGAGGAGCTGTTTGTATGGACACAGTATAGTGTCTATTGAATAATATGAAACTAGCCGGAACAGAAACGTACCTTTGCCTGTGTATTTTGGTTGGCAGTTTTATCAATGCAAATAAAGGTATCGACCAATGAAGTTGACCTTTTTGAACGAAACGTGGACTGATGAGATGAGATTTCTACGGTACTGAAAAAGCTTAACGCAGCGGTAAACTCACAGTTAATAAGCTTCTATAATAACATTATGTGAGATTGTGCTTACCGGTCCTTAAAGAGGAGCGCATGGGCCTCCTCGGCGTTGTCCGTAACGGCGCATCTATTAACTGGACAGTTGTCCCTTAGGAAAAGGCTTTGCCCCAACGGAAGCCCACCCCAAGAGCTACGCTGTAGAAATATTTTCTTCAGCGGACCAGAAGAATTGAGAGGCATAAACATCAACTGCTCCACAATGCGATCGCTGTCTGGATTTTCATGTGGCCATAGGTTGCCTACAAATAGGAACATCTATTAGTTAGCTGTTAAAGGGCGGTATGAAAGGCAACAAAGTACACATGATTTGAAGGACATGCACATTGTTGCGTTAGATTTGTTTCTACTAAAATGTGTATGGTGTAATGTGTATGTAAATCCATATGTAAAACGAGCTCGTTAATTTTTTTTACGATTTACCTAATGAAATGTTCTGTCACAAAAAATCGACCATAAAATGTTCCTATGTAAATCTGTTTAAAAAATATCGCCCCGGCCATAGCACCAGCAGTTCGTGCCCCTGACAAATGTGCCCGTAGTACCACCAACTGGATACATCCTGTTCGCCGTGATTAAATCCTTTCTTCTTTTTCTGTTTTCATTTTCATTTCTAGCGCTGCCCTATTACATTAGCAGGCCGTTAGCCGGTCCTATTCAGATATTTGCGGTCTTCATTTGTCATAAGCCATGCTGTCTAAAGGCACGTGCCCGCCCCATTCAACCTGCATCTATACTTTCGCTTCTCTTTTCGCTAGCCTCCACTTCTCGCCATAATAATATTGTCCAAAAAACGGGAGTCACCGCAGTTGCGCATTACGGACTTTACCATCGACGAGATCAAGGCGGTTGTTTCCTAACTTATGTGACGCCAGCACTCAACGATCACTTCGCCTTGCATATTCTCTGGGGTTCTTAATCGTCTGCGAGATGCTTGCATGGCACCTTCGTCCCCATGCCCACATTTCTGCAGTGGCTAAAGACGCCTTTGAGTGCACATAGGGCAATTTTCGAATTTGCTGGGATTTGTGTGGTGTTTTCGGAAATTCGCGGGTACACGGGTTTTGTCGCCTCCTACACTTGGTTACGACAGACAGACTCAAATCTTCTCTCGGAATCGGAATCTCAATGAAAGAGGAATAAATAAAGCTTAGTTTATTGTGTATAAGGGGGATGTCTTTCGCTAGAATTTGTGCTTGCTTTTTGTCCGCTTTCCCGGTGGAGCAGAACGGGTATTTTGCGCCCCGAGAGGCCACCAGCCTCTGCTGTTACTCATCTTTCGTCATACTTATGCTCACTAGAAGAACCCCGAATACAGAGATAAAGATGAGACAAACGAAAAAACCCAAAAAGTTCCCTAGCCTCTGTACATGGGGTACTCCACACATATCTTGCCTTGCTGCCGCAGTTAGACTATACGATTTCGAACCTACACCGACGGCTGCGACTTCTACGTTCTTCTCGGATTATACACGCGCGTCATGGGCTCATAGAAAAGCTTCCTCGCTGGAGTTAATTAAGTGGCTTGCAAACGTAGCCCTAAATTAACGAGAAAATGTATCAAGGTGAGCCGTCTTGCCTGGCCGTTACCGGACAGATTAGTTTACCCGTAAGGATATTTAAGACAGAACAAGTTAGCACTGACTTCTTGTCAAAACCCTGTAATATATACACATATAGCTGAATATAAAAAAACATACGTTGGCCTCTGAAACAATCTGTCTCGAATTGTTGTGGACACTCAATCTGATGCGAACAACATATTGACGCAACTTACGCAAGCTACTACCACGTCAAAACAGCGGCTACCGCTTTGCTAAAGGGCTGCATGAACTCCAACCATGTTCGAATTCTGGAACCGTCTGTTATTCATACTAAAACTGAAAGTGAGTACATGTCCGCGATAGGTAGGATTACTTAGCACCGTCGCTCACTGAACAAACCAATGGATGGAAGATTTTCGCTCTAGACGTCACATACACGCGTAAATGGAAGCAAGCAGCACCGTGTGTCCCATCTAACCATGTACATCTCTGCTGGTTCCAAAGGGCAAATATCCTCACCGCTCTTTCACTGAATGCCCGCGTGCTTTTGACCAACGACACGCGAGGGAATCACATGGGTCCACTGCAGTCGAGGGAAGTCATGGTGGTGGTTATTACGAATGGCACGAGCGAATGTGGAATTAAACCATGTGCGGTCACAATTCCCGGCCACAAGCTTTCCCTCGAAACACCCTCGCTACTTGTGGCTCTCATCCCGCTGAAATAGACAGCTCGTAATCTGTAACCTGATGTGACGGTAAACTGGAACGTATATGAGGAGGCTAGGTTAGGTTAAATGCAATGTTTGTGTTCCGTGGTATAGTATTTTCAGTATTATAAATCGGTCCAGATTATGCATAATTGTTTTCAGTTGGGTAGCTGATTGAAACTTAAACTTCCTTCCCAGATTTTAATCAAGCAAAAAAATATTTAATACTAATAGTAATAAGAAAAAGAAAACGAGCCTAGACCCAATTCAATTAAACTTAGGAAAAAATCCATTTGGTACAGCTTTAATTCATATGAACCGCTTTCAGCTGCATAGCTTCACTATGTCGATGCCGCTATGCATGAGCTATTATGGTCTCAGCACATATTTAGAACACGGAGCAAAACCTCCAAGTTACCCTCTTGTGAATCAGCATCTCTCTGCACCTCATCATTCGAAGCTGCTATCTTTTCTGGTGTCTGCCTTTCACCTGCTGATCGACCTTTCTCTCAAAGGGCTCTCAATGCTTCAGGCGATAGTAGGCAACAATTCAGCTATATAGGCTTCGCCACATTCTATCGCTTTTGTGCAGGAAAGGCATCTTTAGCTACCCTCTTGTCTGAAGTACACAAGATTCCATCAGTTTCGAAATGTCATCCAGTAGATCGTTCGAATAGGCTCTAGCATCTTCGCGCAAGTCCCCTTCGTATGTTACTCGATTTAGAAAGCGTCTCTGATTTACCCCGTATCTACTTCGTCTATTATTGATATTTTACTGTCTGCCTTATATTGAAAACACACACCCTGATTTGAACGATTGGAGATCACTCTGGCGCAATCTATCACACCTCAGAGCGAAGTTTAAAATAGGTCGCTGAATTGTTGTCGATGCTTTTGTTAGGATTCAGATACAACAAACAAGTGACCTGTGATGATAGCAATCCAAACGAGTCATCAATGAAATACACGCGAAAAGCGCAAAGGTGAAGCTACTATTATTCCAATAAACATGGCTTGAGACGAAAATTTGGTCGTTCTACATGCTGGAGACCGTAGGTTTGTGGTCATTTTCGAATAACTGAGTGCTATGTAATCGAATTTTGGACAAATTCAACTCATGTTTTTGCTGTATACATAGCTAGTGTTTTTGTAAACAACCCAGCTTTTGCGTGCCGGTTTCACCAATACTTTCCGCTGTATAGATCCGTAACCAACGTCTACATCATAATTGAAACGCACGTTTTCGATATAGATGGCGCGTAGAAGCTCAACATTGAGCAAATGCGGCACTCCAATGATGCCTCTTACAACAAAAACCTCTATGAATTCTCCTCCTTGCCAGTGGGTTCCTCTCATCAAAATCTGTGATGTTCCCTTGGCGGGCAAGCATTCTTGACCGTAACGAGAAGCTGACATTATTTTTTACCGTAATTCCCTATCTGACCAGTAGATACAAGAACAGCCACCGTTTTGCTGTGCTGGAAACTTCATTTGCTACTCAAGAGCCACGAGAAACTGGGCGGGGCCAACAAAAAGAAGGCGCAGTTAGAGTTAAGAACACGAAGGAGCAAAATGCCAGAGAGTCCCTGTGTGACTGTTACATTCCGTTGGTGAAATATTTGATAAACTTGATGCTGCTGTCGGTCGTTTTTGTTTCTTCGTTCAGCATTGCTTTTTGTGTTTATCTCTGCCTTCTGTAATGCTCCACTGTTTCAGCCGTACGACAGTAAAAAAATCCCAGTACCCCATCAGAGGTAGACCGCCGCCATTCAATTGTTCGGTCCTGCTCGACTACGACCGCGTAAACGATCAAAGCAGCTATGGTGGGAGGGCGTTTGCCATTGTCAGCGGAACATTCCCAATTGTATGCCTCACGAGAAGGCTAGATGGTAGAACTGAAAATTTGCGATAGTTGAGGGGGGGCCTCAGAGATGGATCCCCAAGCTGAGTTGAGTTAGATTGAACTGGGTGGAGCGATACGGACCGCTACGGCAACAAATGAAGGCAACCGTCTGTTTAGAAGCTGGCAGTGTTCCTGGGCTCAGAACATAAAAAACTAGTCAAAGACGGGATGAAAAAGACGGAGTGGGAAACACCTAAAGCGATTTATAGAGCCCGCACACCCCGAACTAGCTTGATTCACAGATTGTTCGATTAGAGGACCTCCCTAACCGATGCATAACCGCAAGCAAGAAGTAAAGATCTAGTCGAACAAGAAAATGAATAAGGCGTAGAATCCATATTTCGTATATCGATGATGCTGCTTTCAGATGATGGCGACGATGAAGAAACGAAAACTAATGTTTATTTGAAAAAATTCAACTTGAAGGCTTTGACGACGCTACGCGACGGCCTCATATGTATGCCCCCTGTGGTATAACGAATTTGCAGAAAAATAACTGGGGCTCTCCTCAAATCCCGAATCGATGCAAGGGGCTGGTGATAAATACATGTTTGATTTCGTTCGATTATTTTTGTAAAAAATTTAAATTTGAGCGCATTAATAAATGGGCTGCATATAATTTGGAAGTTATTATAATGCTTTAACAATCAAAGTTAGAAGAACTAGATATATTAAAAAACGGCATGAACGATGAATATGCATGTTTATGTTTACGAGCTTGTTGATACTCAATCCGGCTAATTCTTTTTATTTTTATTATTTTTCAAATAATAACTAATGCGTATCTATGATTTAAGTTTTAGACGATTTGATTGTACGTATCCTCCAATAAAAAAATACAGTATAAAAACCCAGTACTAAATACATTGGATTGTCAACTGTTCAACTCGTGTGACCCCATTTCTATTGAATCTGTCACATGTAAGCTTCTTCATCAGGCGTTGAATCATAACACATCGATACGCCGAAAAAATAAATAGTTTTGCCAGTCTTTCCCATATACTATTTGTATCACATTTTTTATCAGCCTACGTTTTTCCGTTCAATCAACCTCAAATTCACACACAATGTTACTCAATAGACGAG